TTTGGTGCTGATATTAATGCCAGAGCTGGTTTTTGAACTCTGCAGTTATTGAGACAGCAGAGCTTTGGCCACTTGTACGCACTATGCGCCTCAGCACTCGGCGACCCCGCTGTGTAACTCTACGTGGTCTTCCACTTAGTGGCTGAGTTGCTTTGGTTCCTAAACACCTGAATTCAATGATTAAGATGAGTGTCCCATTATGTTGATCTATATAGTGTATGTGGCATGACAAGCTCTTTGCCCAGCTCCTTGCTGAAAAGCCGCTGTGCATTGGTCACATCACATGTAATCAGGGTGTTGTGCAGTAAAGACTGAGTAGGCATTGGGGGTGGCCACATTGTGCCAGAGCACCATGGGCCTCCTCTGTGTTCTCCGCTTGCATGTGTAGGTGCGAACCATCTGGCATTGTGTCCACTCCTGATTTAGTTTTGTTATAGTACTGGGTTACTTCTAGTTCCTTGTTTACACTGTTGTCATCCACTGATCTGTCATCATGCATGGTGCTCAGGAGGACAATAGCTTTCCCCTTTTTCGGCACATAGCTCACCATGGTCATGTTGCCACTGAATCCAGATTCTGAGCTATGATTCTCCCTCAATTTGGATGGCTTCATGACAGGCGGTATGTCCGGCTTGTTCTGGCGAAGAGTCCCCACAATGATCAGGTTCTTCTCAAGGAGCTTTTCAGCCAGAGGGATACTGGTGAAGAAGTTTTCCATTGTGATGTTGCGATATATAATATCGTACACTAGCAGCATTTGGCCAGTTCCTCCTGTGTAATTTCACATAGACATGAACTCTCTTCCTCACTAGTAATGGATGACAAGGTAATGTTCAAATATTATGTACTATGGGTTATCTTTCACAAGATATAAAATATCTCCTTAGGTAAAAGAAGTGTAAAATAAGACTTACATGAATCAGTCGTGCAAAAGCAGCCTGTTGAGTTGTGACAAGTTTGGCATGTGAAAAGTTGTCCACGGTTAACATGTTCAGCAATTGTTTACAAATAAAAGCTTCCTATCAAATTCCTTAGTGAATACATGTTTGGTCCAATCACTGCTAAAATTATTATTTATAAAGAAATTATTATTATAGTATCTTTTTTTCATTTTTATCACACTTGATGTAGAAATACAAAAACTGTTTTAGTTCCTAAATTAAGAATTAAGAAAGGGAGAATAAAAATAATGATATGTGGTGATCAAAAACAAGATATTAAATGAATACTTGGAATATTAAATGATTAAATAAGTTGATTTCCAAAAATATAGCTAAGAAACACTCAGCCATGTACAAAATAACATTGTAGGTCAATACGAGTCATTGTTGACCCATGTTGTTATGGGCTCAGAACAGTCTCATTTACACACATGCACACAGAAGGATTCACACTTGTATTTCATGATCCGCAAAAGGATTCAAACTTGTATTTCCGGATCCACACTTGTGTTTTTCAATGCATACACAAATGTGTTCCGTTTCATATACATGTAAATAAAATCCAAACACAGAAAAAAGTTTTACATGTGTATTTTTGATCTACACATATTAGTTTTCCGTTTAAAACCGCTGCACCTTCAAACACAAACAGCTTTCTGTGCACGGATCGCTGTGCATTCGTGTGTGGGTTTTTTGAGACTCCCCTGACGCTCACCCGATTCGTACTTGTAATTTCTCTCATCTATAGCCAATCAGATGTCTCCTCCAGTCTAAGCCAATCACATGAGCGCGCCCCCACGTGGGTAGGATTTCTTGCGTTCGTGACGTAGCACTTCATTTACGCATTTTGCGCAGTCCGGACTCCGGAGCTGACAGGTCAGAGGCATAGGTCAGAGGTCATCTTTAAAATGGCGTCTGGTGGTCGCGCGCCTCCCGCTCCAAGTGTAAATTATGTTTAAATTATGAAATACTCCTAAATTATGAAGGATTGGTTTTGCTTAGTTGTTAGTTGTTTAATTCGAGAATTATATAGAACTGTTTTGGTTAGCTGTGTTGTAGTAGCTGAGCTCCATAAGCTAACATTAACTAGCGTTGTCTGTCTAACGGTCTAACGATCCCCCATTCTTATTATGTGCTTCTGCTACCAAGTAAAATGTTGCAGTGAAGTGAATGTGAGAGAAAATTAATTGACTGTTCGACAGGGTGTAACGCCTCGGGTCGAGGTAGCAGCACGGGCTTTAGTTCAATTAATAGCCAGGGAGTTGTCTGCGACTCCAACTCCACCAGAAGTGAGCATAGCAGAGAGTGCACCGGTCAGCGTAGCAGTCAGGGCGGTAGACAGCGTCCAATCCCACAATGATGTCAGGGTGAGGCAGGCGATGAGAAGGTGATTTAATAGACTTTTTTTTACATTTGACAGTTCAAGATCAAACTGTGGCTTAATCCCGTAGATGTGTAAACATCTGATATTTGATCTCACCCCTCGCATTACTCTAATGTAATGTTGAGTTAATGTTTTAAAACATTTGTCCATAGTATGTATCCTCCATTACTGCTTTTAAAACCTTTAACAACCCCTTGCCTTGAAACGTCCCAAACACAATATATTAATGTTTTCAAAACAAATATTTTGGTAAGATAAAGCTAAGTGTCAAGATTGTTTTTGTATCGACAGAATATTAACTATGATTTCGCTTTTTATTCATACAATTTGTTCAACCTATGTTAACAAAACCATCAACGCAAGCCAATGATTTGCAAATGATATAACAATGTCTAGTCTCACAGATCCTTTTGTCATTCCCACATCAGGCAATTCCCAAGTATGTTCAGTACTGATCAGCCAAGAGGCAAAAGACGATTTCCCACCCCGGCTCCTTGCATCGTCAAACGGACGGACTTTCACATATATGTCCTTTCGGGACCCAGTCAGTTTACACCTAAGGGCTCGGAAGAGCTACCACTTGCCTATGCTGGCCTTGGAAAGAGGATGCTAAATCTACCGGACAACTTATTGCACAGTGAGGTAATCATATAAACAGACAGTATTAAAGATTTCTCAATGATTTAAAATGTGAATCACTTGCTGAATATTGTATGTTATTTCACTTTGTTTTAAAGACTATGGCTTCGGTTGAGGAAGAATTTCCAAAACTGAAAACATTAAAAGGAGGCTGGATGTTTTTCAAGTCAGCAGGTAATATTGTTCTCATCTCCATTGGTGAAAATGCTGTGTTGTGTTTTTCACACTCAGAAGCCCCACATGTGTTTTCTGTTGCCCTACTTTGAATTACCATTCATATCACTTCTTCAAGTTATATAAAACAGTACTAAAGTTTGTCTGACAAAGTGTAACGTATATCCCTAATATTAATGTATGTACTGTCAGGTGGTTTTAAAGCACACTTGTGTTGTTCCTATTTTGATTTTAAAATAGGTGGTAGTGGACGTCGAAAGCTGTCCATAATTCCTACTGACTCCGAGGGGTACTCCACAAGGCTCCTCAAAACAGCGTCCAACAACGGAAAAAACATTGTGTTTGTAATTCCACTACAGGAGCAACTTTCTACCGAACCACTACCCTATGACTCGGCAGAGTTTGCAAAGATGCCACAGTCAACCTGCATAACATGTGGCAGTCAAATGCCTTTGCAGCTGTTGCCTTTACATGTGGAGGAATGTAATGACATATTGACTGTAAGCTGTTATTAAAACGTTTCTCTCATTTCTCAAATAAATATGTAATGTTTTAGTTTGCTCAAATGACTGTTTCAAAGTCTATAGAACCAATTCTCTGTACCTTTTTTGTTTTTTAGGAGAGTGAATCTGGGACTTCTCTTGATGAAGTGATTGAGCAGCCAAATCCACCTAACACAGGGATGGGAGAATTGTCAGAGGTAGTTGATGCTGATCCTGTTAAAGTTACTTTGCAATTTAGTATAAAAGCCTTATTGTTTTCAGTAAATAATGACAGCATGATTGCAGGTGTGTATATAGGTAGGGTATAACACATTTCACCAAACAGACTTTTTGCACACTGTCTATGTACTCATTTTTTATCATAGAATTATGTTTCCTGTATCACTTATCTGAGAGAGAATTATTAAACATAAAACCTCTTATAATAATGTGATATGTTTTAAAGGTATTGACATTTGTTTATGTTTTTTACAGGTTTGCCCTATATGTCTTGAATCTTACCCAATTGATGTCCTCTCATTTCATGCAAGCACATGTGGTGAAGGGTAAGACGTTTTGACTTGTTCAAGCAAAAGATGGAAGATAGACATGTTTTGAGAGAGGTGAACAACATATACAAAGTGTCAAACCTAATAACGATATCGTTTGGTGAATGTGCTTGTTCCTTTTTTGTGTTTTAAAATGCTGTAATGTTACAGCTATAGCAGCTGCATCAGAGCATGTGATGCATTTTTAGGAAATGTAGAAATCTTAACAGAGCCGAAATACTTATTAGGGATCTGATTTAAATTACTTTGTTTGATATGCAAGAAGAAATATGTAAAAAAAGAAGGGCGCTCACTAGTCTCTATTTTCCATTCCTGTGAGTATGTTTTTTGTTTTGTCTTTTCCAAGAATGGACCCTGCTCATCATAGCGATGCAGCCAGTATGACAAGGACAGAGGAAATGCCAGGACCTTCAGTTCAACGATTGCCAGCAACAGTTTCAGCAGGTTATTTATTCAGAACAATTACTGCTGTGGTGTAGTTTGAAACAGTGACTACTCACAAACACTTAAATAGCAATGATCACCAAAATGAATGTTGTTACATGTTTGATCCAGTAATATGGAAAGGATAATTGATTTCAAGTTACTACCTTTTAATATATTGCTTTAAAATACAGGGCTTACTAAATGAGACAATAAATGAAGTACTATTTTACAATTGAAGCTGACATATTATGAAGTTTATTGTACCAACCACTTTTTTTCCCTTCAAATTACATTTCAGCATGGGCCAATGAAGTGGACCCCCGGAAGGCATGTCAGTTGTTCAGAGAGGAACTGCTGGAACGTAACTATGAATGTCCATGCCTCTTTCTGTCAATCGACTTGTTTGACGCAGAAGAAGAAACAGACAGTTCATTGATTTCATTCTTTAAAATGAACAATGTTAACTGGGCAGCTCCATTGAAGTGCAGGCTGAGAGGTATTAATAAATAGTGTAACTTCTCATGTTTCATTATAGGTTGTCATCTGGGTCGAATTTTGCCTTTTTGTTTGTTTTTACTTGCATGTTGAGGATTAAGTTCATGTCCCTTAGACCAGGGAAGAAAGAACTAGTTACATTTATTGTATTGAAAGCTTGAAGGATGATTCATGTTGTCTCTTGGTAAGTGTATGTTGAATATCATCTTGTTGGTTGTACTTTTCTAAATGAGGTCGTCTTTTCAAGGGGATGCAGCAGTCGGCCAAGGTGTCAACCGACACGTTTTGTCAATGGCCATGCAGAAACTGAAGACCGGCTTCAGTATACATTTAGGTGGGATGTCCCCATTTGTCTTTCAATTGAAATAACCACTTGCAGCTAAATCTTAATAAACCAACAAAGATTACAACATGCATATTCACAGTTGAACCAACACTCAATATAGCTTGACCTAAAAATTACGTTATAGCAATACATGGTGTCTAAACTATTTCTCCTTTTCTCTTAAGGCTGTGCAGCTCTTACAAGCCTTTTTGAAGGCGAAATGGAACATCGGGTTCCCTCCGCAGCTGCTGTGCTTCGGGAAAGCAACCTGTTTGAGATGGCAGGTCGGATGATAGGCCATTCCTTCCTGCATGGTGGTTTTGGTTTCTCAGGACTAAGTGTGCCTGTAGTGACTCTGTTGACTGGTGGGAGCACGGATACTGCAGCATCAGCGCTTACCCTGCTGGACTGTCCTGATCTTGACCACCGTGAAACAATTGGTTTTGTGAGTGTCCTAGTTAAAAAGTGACATGTCATACACCACTGCACCACAATGCTAACATACACTTGTCATCTTGTGCATTATGAAAAAGATTCCATTCATGCGTCAAGGCTGGGCTGTTTAGCTAGAAATGATTTCCAATGCTTTTTTGTGTCCCATTTTGATTTTTCCAGATTTAGGCTTTTTGTCCACTTTTGCATGCATTTAAAAGATGTCCTCTTTTCTCCTGTTTTAGCTCAAGAATACACAACTTACTGCTCAAGAAACCACCAGTGTGACTGATCTTTGCCTGTCCTGGGACCTCCCTGTTCCAACCTCCACCAATCATGACTGGCTGTTCCAGGAACTTCTTTCCCATGCAGTAATCATTTTATATTGTACCATTTTTATTTAAACAATACAATACAATGTTTAGGTAATTAGTAGGTTTGCTTTGTAAGTCCTCCTGTATCTGCTACTGTGGTGTTTTTCCATTAGTGCCTCAGTTTGATTGTTCCTTTTACTTGTAGGTACTTCACCGTGTTAGGCAGCCTATCAAGCAGATTCGCAAAGGCCTTAAAGAAACGGGAATCTGGCCGCTTGTTTCAAATAGGCCAGATGTCCACCCCATATTATTTCCAAGAGAGAAAAATGATGAGCTGAACTCACAGGTAAGTACCATTTTCTTTATTGGATTTATGTTATTCATGGGATTTGTTTGCAAACACTATCATGCAATTTCATTTGTGGGGCTCTTAAACTGGTGTGTAGATCTTAAATCAATGCTTTACAATGTTAAGATAATTCTGTAGCATATAACATGAGCTTCAATCTTAGCAAAGAACACGTTTGTATTTGATCCCCTATAGACTGTGATCCAGAACATCCACTGGCCACAGCCCAAAAGTGACAGCGATGAGGACGAGGACGACGCCGTTCCATTGGAGAAAGTCGGTCTCGTCACTGGATTTTTGAGGCAATTCATAGAGGAAGGTAACACTAATTAATGACTGCTAAAGCTGTAGTGCAGCTGAAGAGATGGCAGTTCTGATGAAAAATAATATACACACATCGGTGTACAAATACAAATCTATGCATGGGTTAACCGTTGATATTCCTGCAAGTTTTACTGCTCAAATTTAAGTTTTGATATAATGCAATTTGAGGTATCGCATACATAACAAATTCTCTCCCATAGCATCTCCGAAGGTGCTGCGTGACCTCTTGAAGTTCTGGGTCGGGTGGGAGCTGCTCACAACAAACCTTGAAGTTGAGGTTGTTACTTCAAAATACCCAGTGGCTCTCACCTGCTTCCTAAAATTGAAGCTCCCAAGCCACTACCAAACTTATGAGAAGTTCCACCAGGACTTGATGATGGCCCTCAGTTCCATCAGTTCAGGCTTTGGGCTTGTGTAGCTACACACTGACTCTCAGTTTGTTTTGTATTTTTCTGGAGAAGGATTTGCCTCTCTATTCAATACACTGTGAGATACAGGGTTACAGTTGGTACACCTACCGTGTTTTATAAATAAAGGATATTTGGAAAAAGACTGTTTGTCCATTATCATTGTTACACTTTAACGGAGCGTCCACACAGCAGCGTGCGTTGACGCTTGGAGTTGGGCGTGTCTGAAGCTTGGGGATTTTTTGCGACCAACAACCAATCACATGAATCTCCCGCCCCCGACATACAAAGCAATAGCAATGTTAAAACTAAGTAAACTGGATATAAAATAATGAATTTTCCCTCCATTTTTTTGAATATGAGGAAATGACCTGCGTAGTCTCTCCCAGCATACACACGGTTTGATTGGCTAGCGCTTGTAATGGCAGATTTGCATAAATGGGATTTCATTGGCTGACGCTTCTGCCGAGTCGCCAAAAGTTGAACATTGCTCAACTTTTGAAGCGAGCAACGCCAGCAACGCTCCACGTCGCTTTCCAAAATGCAGTTCGGCTAAAAGTGACGTCACCCCATTCAAAGTGAATGGGCAGAAGCGTTGAAAGCTTCAACGCACACCGCTGTGTGGACGGGCCGTAACAATGCCCAATCCCTTGAACAGTAAAGCATTACACTCCGAATAGTTATTTTACAATGTTTTTATTTTGTACAGAGTGTAAAATGAATGTAATTCTGTTGCTCTGAAACGGTTTTTGATCCTGACTGAAAATGCATCTCTAAAAACACTTCCATTAATTTATAAGTCAAAAGAAAAATGTCTAATCATGCAATTGAGATTAACTTAATCAAGCATAAGCTATGTAAATATAAAATGATTAACTTTCCATCATTGCCAAATAACTGAAATCATGACACAAATCATACTATAGTTGTTAAATGTAACAACTATCGGTGCTCAATTAAATTCTCAATGTATTGGACAGTATTGAGATATATGTCCACTCCGAAACATTCAGATTCTTCCAATGGATCAATGTTGTCTTGCAGTTGCATCATTTCAAGGTCTGAGAGAGGGAAGTTCAGCGTAGGGACATTGACCCCGGTATGATGCTCATTTGTGTATCCACTCTCTTCCCATTGAATCTCTGGTATGAGTGAACCCTAAAAAAGACAAAGTGAGTGTACAAATATTAAAGCAAGCACTGTGCCATTACTGCTTCTTATTACAAAATATGTGATCAGGCGAAATAAAGAGGGTATGCAATTGTTCTATAATAATAAAAAATGGAGTGATTGTGGAATAATGTTAAGGTAATAGTGTAATATTATAGAAAAGTGTTCTTGCTTGCTCCCAGCAGAGGTTCTTTTAATCCAAGAACGGGAGTTAGTTTATGAATCAGATAACTTATTATACTGTTTGGGTTTTTATTGATTGATAATAAACAAGAGATAGTGATGGTTTTGAAAATTCATAATTTACCTCAGGCTCAGGATCTGCAACAGGATTCAGGTGCTGGCCCACCTGCCACAACTGATTGGGTGTCAGATTTTGCTCTGTCCTGATGGGATGGTTGGCCCAGGCCTCACTGAACACATCCAGGTTGGCTTGGATGCGTGGCAAGAAAACGTAGTGGCAGCAGAAGATGTGCAGGACGTTACTGATGTCAAGCAGGTGTTGTTCCTCAAGAGAGTGCAGGGTGTTGTAAAAGATACCCGTAACACTCATGAACACATCACGCCAGAGGCGTTCAATTCTGTGAGAAGAAAACACAAAAAAAATGTTAAACTTAAAAGAAAATTCAAACTGTTCACTATGAACAATTTAAAGTTTCCTAGTCATTGAGTCAATGGCAATGTCTCTAACTGAAAATTGCATTTATTTAAAAAAAATCAACTGACTTGACAGGAGAGTACAAACATAACATTAAGTGAGTTTTCAAATGTTTGCGTGGCTGGTAAATTTCTGTGAAAATTGTCATTTTCTTCTTTGTGAAGGAATGGTCTCAACATGTGCTTATGAAGGTTTGTTAAAGGGAATATTAAGAAGAAGAAATATGCTCATAAGCTTACAAAATTAGGTTTAACTCACCGTTGATTGTGTACGCTTTTCCCTGCAATGAAGCTGTTACTGTCAGTTCCACGAACTGAGAACATTAATTGTGCTACTCCCACATTTTCTCCACCATGATCTCCTCTCACTCTGGAAAATAAATCAAATAATTATGCATAGTTAAAATCTACGTATTTGAAGGTCCAAAAAACGAGGGGTACAATTCCATAATGATCTACATCCATAATGTGATCACAAATGGCTCTCTCTGGACATACATATTTGAGATATCTGGACAGGTCCTTAACTGTAACCCTTAAGAGTTCTCTTTCACTTTATTAAACCTCGAGTTATCTTCCACACCTGAATGAGGGATGGTTCACATCAGCTTGTGAATAGATTATATTTTCATATTTCTGTACAGTACATGAATCTCAGCTGAGGGATAGAAAAATCTGACATGTTGCTTATATATTGTCATATGTGAGGGGCTCACATAGAATTAACAATTGATATGGCTGTGTCCGACAGCACTTTTGTGACCTAGAAAAGTACCGTTTATAATGGCAATTGTTTGAACTTATATGTTCAGATTGCCTCTTTGAACTAACAGTAAAGCACGACAATATTTGCAATGAATGAGTCCCATCAAAAGTAAAGTGGTCGTCACTGATGCAGCCATTGGAGGGGAACATCTAAATTTGATGGAAAGGTCCGCGATTACACTAATGATTACATATGAAATAATGTGAATACCTCAGAGGAAACCCGTGCTCGTTCACAGCTTCATTGAAGAAACACAAGTGGGTGTCAGCCCGGTTGTTGTCTGCTAACTTCAAGTACATAATCTACACATACAAGTACACATAAAACAACATATTAGTACCTTGATGAATCAGTTTAACTTGAAGCATCTGTCAAATGACAATGTGCAGCATTAAGAGAACAACGCACAACAGAATTATTCAATGTATAACAGAATATCATGATAGCTCAGGCAAGCTTCTTGACATATATTGTGCGGTTACTAGTATAAGTGTTTTAATTATTTCACAAGTTCTTCAAAGTATTTATTTTGAAATTAAGTAAATAAGTAAATGCATATTGTTTGATCTGAATCACTTAAAATATAAGGTGACTTTAGAAGTCCATATCGTCTGTTTGGTAAGAGGCGATATGTAATTAACTATAGGTTAGATTGTGTACCTAAAGATCACCACCTGTTGGTACAGAAAATAAACTGAAGCTTAGAAAAGTAAAACCATCACATGATGTTCGGCAACATTTTGCAGTTGTTGGTTCTTGACAATAGAATAGTCTTACCTTCCTTGAATAGCCATCTATTCCCCCAAAGATAACAAAGTTGTACCTGTCAATGATAGACAATGATATGATTACATACACAAGATATATACAACTAGACATTCAAAATAATAAAATGAACAGATTACATACAGACAGCATGCAGACAAACCTGATGAGCTTGTGGTTGGTGTCAATGTGCACCATGTACTTAGGGTAAGGAACTGTGTATGTTCTCCTCACCACACATCCCATCCGGGTCATCCTGGCGAGCACACCAACACTGTCCACACGATGCATGGATGCATACACCCGTTCCCATTGCACTCTGTGTCCCTTCGCAAGTAGAGCACCTCGGACTACACGGTAGCCAGCATCTGGCATTGCACTTTTTATTGTGGTGATCAATGAATCCAATTCGTCATCAGTGCAGCCACTATATGAAGCAGATATAGAAATGTCATTTTCGGTCATCCGCCTAAATAGCATTGCTCTAGACACACCCAGGAGTCTGGCGATGCAACTCGATGGCAGTCCCAGTTCAACCAGATGTGTCATTGCCTCTACTGACACATTCAATCGTGGACGCCCACGTCCACAACATTTTTGCAACTCAAGGGTCACAAATATCTGTTGATTATCTCTCTCTTGTTGGATAAGGCTATTCAGGTCTGCAAGTGCAGACTGTATATGATTCCCTAAATCAACAATGTCACCCAGTGCACTCAATATAACAAAAGCCTGACGGCACGCAAACTGTAGCCCTTCGAGATCAACAGGTGTCCTATCCAAGATGTATGTCAGTCGATCTTGAAGTCTCTGAAGGATTTCACGCTTTACTGATTCCTGGGGGGAAAAGAATAGAAAAGATAGATAAAATATGACCAACAGTGCTCAACGTTCGACCGTTTGTTTACCAACACTGGTTAATCCTATTTAACATCATCTCTTAATGTTCAATTCCACCCCATCATTAAACACAATGGAATATATTTTTGAATAATAATTTGAGCAGCAAATTTTGGATTAATTCTGTCTAAATTGTTCCTAAAAAACAAAGCAACAGAATGAAAGAAGTTAAAGAAATGTTTGGCTAATGTTAGCTATGTAAGGTTATAATCCTAGGTAGTCTATTAGCATAATATAGCTAACTTGCCAGCAAACGCTAGCATTACATGCCACCCATATTACTTCCATGCTAACACATCACTAACATAACAATAATTCATACCTAAAACATATTTAATCATTCACGCCGAGACACTTATAACTTACACTTGTGCTAGACGCCATGTTGAAGTTGACCTGTCAGCTCCGGAGTCCGGACTGCGCAAAAAGCGTAAATGAAGCGCTACGTCACGAACGCAAGAAATCCTACCCACGTGGGGGCGCGCTCATGTGATTGGCTTAGACTGGAGGAGACATCTGATTGGCTATAGATGAGAGAAATTACAAGTACGAATCGGGTGAGCGTCAGGGGAGTCTCAAAAAACCCACACACGAATGCACAGCGATCCGTGCACAGAAAGCTGTTTGTGTTTGAAGGTGCAGCGGTTTTAAACGGAAAACTAATATGTGTGGATCAAAAATACACATGTAAAACTTTTTTCTGTGTTTGGATTTTATTTACATGTATATGAAACGGAACACATTTGTGTATGCATTGAAAAACACAAGTGTGGATCCGGAAATACAAG